GGGCCAGCTTTATTATATAATAAAATACAGACAGATTATGTGCAGTTATAAACTTGATCTTTATTTCTAATTCTGAATATGTAAAGAACAATTAGTAAATAAAAATATTTTTGATACATGTAATCCTTATTGTTATAGAAAAACAATTTTCTATTCTAGTCAGAATCCACTGTTGAACTACTTTTGTTTCTTTTCGACCTAGATGGTGGTGCATGAAATAGTAAAGACATGTTAATAATTATAATGTTTCGTAAGGTTAATAAAATTTTGACAAAATTTTCTACGATGAATGAATCGGATTGTTGCACAGGAATCTTTGCTTCATAGAGATGGTAATATCGATGCACATTAGCCACATTCCTAATGAGAAAATTTAATCGTATTATTGATCCGGCTACTTGGATCGCAACAATTCCGAATTCATCTTTATCAGGCTTAATTGATTTGTGAGCCCAGTACATTCCGTCATTAGCTTCACGCCATAGCTTTATTTCATCGTCTGTATCTTTCTGTAGCGTGCAAGACAGGCGTGAGCATTCGGAATACATGAGCTCGTAATTTTTTTCCCCACATTTTACCACAAACATAATATCGGGCCGTCTTCCTGACCGTCCTTCACCTCGTCTATCTGCACTGGCAGAACTTTGATGCTCCGCACTAAAAACGATTACCAGTAAAAAAAAGGTTAAAAAAAGGGTTGTAATGATGGCATTTTTTAATTGTAATGACTTACATGCTAACAAAAGTAGATTTTCCGAAAGGAAGATCCTTTAATGAAGCCCGAATAGCAGGTACTACTACATTGGTCACGTAAGTACCTTCGCTTTGCAATTTTGCAAACTCAGGACTGAATGCAGGATTGTTTCATGCATCATTAAGAGCATGCAAACTTCCTGATGCAATCTCTGTAAGCTTCTCATCTGGTTCTTTCCATGATCCATCGTGCTTAAGTTGTCTTGGTAAAATATCCATATCTTCATTGACAAAGTCTTCTACGAATTCATTGCATTTATCTCGTATAATTTGTGGAAGTGACGAAGGGACAATATCATCTTTTGGTTTCTAATAATAGTGTAAATTAATGAGTAAACAAAATTATCATTGAAATTTTAGAATGTTAGTATTCACCATAAAAAGTTCCTTTTGTCGATCTGGCAATTGTTGTACCAGAGCTGAATCATCACTTATCACTTGACTCGCAAGAGGGTCTTTCCAAGTCAACTTAGAAATAGAAACCTGATTGACACCGAGAAGTAATTTCTCATAAAGTACTGCCACATTCTTCTTAAGTAGTGCTGAACCCTTGTTAAGTTTACCCTTTAGTGCATTAATATTTTTTTGGATTTGATTCGAATTAAGAGGTCCTTCTTTATTAATTTTCACTGCTCCTATTTTATGTAAGCTACAGACAGTTTTGTAGGAGATTTCGAACTAACACAGACATATAATTTTAATTAATTCCTAATCATATAGACAAAAAATATAATTATCAAAAGCGCATGCGCTGTCAGATGATAATAAAGCCCTATTCATGTGTGGTTAGCTACTCCAACACACAAACAAGACTTTATGTGATACTAAAAGCAACCACATAGAATTGAGCATATTTCTACACCCTAATATTCTCCACACTTCTGAGGAAAAATTTTCCTGTGAGTGGGCTAATAGAACATTAGGCTGTTATGCACTCTTTCTCAGAACGGTACCACTGCCTGCATAATCATCATTCAAAATAAGTGCTCTATTTGCCCCATGAGATTTGAAATCTTACCTCAACTAGAATGTCGGAAAGGGTCTTCTTATGTGAGGAATGTTCCTCCGCAAATGCTACAGCTTGTCTAATAATATTTTTCAATTCTTTTTTAGTTATCCAGGGATTATCTTCGATTCCTTTATAGATAACAGATCCAGCGGTAATATTTTCTTTCTCGGCATTTAGCAAAAAATTGCAAATTTTATTGTACAAGTCGTCGTACAAGTCGTTATTCATGGCAAATATTTTTGTAAATTAATGAGACTGTAAGTTAATGATAATGAGAAAACAATAAAATCACTACAAAGTGATAAATCACTGTAAATTTAAAATACTGCCCTATTTATGCATCTTTCTTCATCTATTCTGAAACTCAAAATGTATAGGAGGTTAGTCAAGAAAGCATTCTTACATCAAAAAATTTTGAAAAATAGAAATCGATGCATATATCACAAGTTATCCGACCATTTTTGGCCTGTGAATTTTCTGTCGCACAGATAATCTACTATGTAAAAAAAAGCACAGGCAAGGGAGTGAATTCTCCACAAAATGAAGAATAGATGTGGCATGAGTTAATTGACCGACTTTGGTTAGGGACTAATTCTGACAAATGCTGAAATGGCAGTTTCTAATTGTGCCCCGTCTCACAAATAAGTTATGCATAACGATAAGCCTTCTAAGGTGGTACAGATAAATTCTACATGCGGAATTATTATGCTAATGAATTATCGCATCGCCTAAATTATATATTCCATCGACTAAATTTTTTATATACAAACCCGTAATAAGTGGTATTTATGTTTGTGACCCGTTTCCAAACAAACTATACAGTGATAAGCCTCATAACGATAAGGCCAAACCTCTATATATGACATTTCGAATTTATTGCCAATTTAATATATATCGATATTACAGAAAAACGTTAACTTTATTCTGGAGTAGCAAAGCCACGAATTACAATTTACATGAACTTGTGTGTGGGTAGGGCGTTTATAAACTGCAAGAAAATCTAAATTCATGAAAAAAATGTAATATAGACTGTGACCTCGAGGACACAGTATCACGTGACAATGGCGCAGTAATAACCGATCATTTTGATTTATTTATAATGCTAAGTATTACATGATTGATATTTTCCTTACTTAACTTAGAAATTGTTAACGCTGTAAAAGATCTAACTCGTACCATTTTATCCTCACCAATGGCATCAAAAAGTTTGTAAATTTTTCGTGCTCGTTCTGTTTTCTTTCTAAGTGTGTCATCACTAACCTCTTTGGAAATTTGATTTCTAACTTCGTCATTTACTAGAATTTTGGCAACTTGCTTTTTGTGAGATTTCTTGTGGTATTCTAGGCGTTTCGTAAGATTTAATCCAAAATTATAATATCTTTTAATAACTTCTTGGTTCGATTTTCTATTATCATCTTCAGCACTAAT